CCTTTCCGATTATCGGACAGGGAGGAACGGACAGGGAGGGGGGCGGGCACAGATGGCTCTGCATCTAGATAGGCAGAGCCCGCTGTCAATCAGCCAGCTGGGTAGATCTCGACAGTATTGTTGGGATCTGTCCTGGCAACGGCGCTCTCAGTATATAGCTTGGGTCACGGGAGGAGGTTAGTATATGTCCTCCCGTGACCCTAGTGAAACCTATGGGACAAAAAGGTTACCCCATAGTTATCTTTTAAGGTAGCAAAGAAAGTAGTCATTTGCTTTCAGAACTCAACTAAGAATGGACAGTTCCAAATGAAGTGCATACAATCAGCTTGGTGTTGGGTACAGTACAATGTATACAGTTATCCTATGTTCCATTCAATGTAAACAAACCAGCGTTATTGATTGCTGGTGAGACATACATAAGAGAAGAGCACATGTCATCCCAGACTTCATTTAACATGGTGGGCATAAAAAGTTGACATCTAGTTCGAACTGCAAAGGAAGAGTTGCCCAGTTTGGTATGTTGTCGATGGGAATGTGGAGTAGAAACCAACCCTTTGATCTCAAAATGTCAGTTTGGGGGTAGTTCAATACGGGCATATTCTAAATTGTGCCCCTAAGCCATGAATAAGTTGCAAAACACAACGTAGTAGATCCTCATTATGTCAATGCAACTGAAGAGATGAATATCAGGGCCAAACTTCTCAAACACAAGTCTGAAATCTGCATGTAGCTGATCCGTCTGGCTTTTATTTTTTATGGCCACGAGTAATTTCCCACCTTGTTGCAGGAAGAGGTCACTCTCCACCACTTTGCACATGCAGGCCAGTGTCTGATGGACGAGTTGGTCTGGTGGAACACTCTGCATAAACTTGGCAAAGAGGACACTGTAAGAGAACAATATCAGTGATTTAATAGCATGTGTAAACCTAAAGCCAGCAACAATACCAGTGGAAGATTTGCCCATGCTTGCCACAATGTGAGCTCACAGGAACCACCGCTCATTTTTTACCTCTGCAATGATAACACAACTCACTTCTCTGTAGTAAAAAGAAGTAATCCCTTGTTGACCATGGAGGTTTTCCAACAGGTTGACAATGTAATTGACCTTATGCCTTGGGAATGCTAGACTACGTAGGTTTGTCCTCAACAGGAAAGGAACAATAGCAGCTGCCCTGATCTAAAGAGAACACACAAAAGAAGCAACGCTCCTCCACTACTCAGGAAAGAAATGAGCCGGGTGCTTGCCGCTGAGAGCACGTCCTCGCTTCAATATGAGCCCGCACAAACAGAGGAAAAGCTGGCCACACACTGGATTCCCTAGGATAGTTTATTGAAGCTTGTACCAGATCACTAGTGCCCTGCCAATGGCCTCCCACTGACACGTTTCACCCAATAACAGGATTAGTTGTAGAGCACTAGTAGCTGCTCCGATCTGCTTGGGGACGTGAATATGGGCAGGGGAATATACAAAGCAGTACAAAGGGGGCTCGCCAGCTAATATGGATATTTTGGTTGGACTTTGCGCAGGAATCTCCGGTGCACTAAAAGGTACACGTTCGGTATTAAAATGCGCCCAGCACAAACAATCGGGTTGCTGCTAAAAGCACGCTGCATTCAGCTCTTTCTGTATAAGGGATGAAGTACTTCTTTAGCACCAGAGAGAGTCAGACACGATGCTGCTTCAAGCTGGAGTCAGTAGAAAAAAGGGCCGAGCTGACCCGAACTCCTTCATTTTATTAAGGCAAAAGGACGACACCCAGTGGGAGACGGCTTTACAACATTAGCCAGTCAGCCCAGAAATACAGGTAAATATCAAAAAGGAAAAAGGGGACTACACCAAGATGGCTGGGCAGGGAAATGCACACACCTTATCCTGTAACAAGGTAGGATGAGTCATGTCCATTGTCCCCAACCGGCCATGTGGTTGCCCATCCCCCATCGTCAGCATGGACCCTAGTCAATACTGCTCAGAGTGACCAGTATCTAATAAGATCATTCTACTTGTTCGGATAGGTTTGAGACTATCTGAAGAGACATTGCTGATGCGGTTATCTATATACGGTACCAGTATACGGACAAGGCATATATCGATGTCTTCTTATAAAAGCAGATATGTATCCAAAAGGGATAGCGCAGTCCGCAATAGAGGTATAATACGCATCTCGTTATACGGACTCCGCTTCGCTAATGTGTACAGACGTTTGAACGCAAGGAGCCCAGCGCAGTGCACTTAGTACTCACAAACCGGCAAACGCCTCCATACACCGCGAACACGTCTCCAAGCCCATGAGAAGGTTTTCACACTGACGGTGTGACAGCTTACTGCTGGTCCCGATTCAACCCAAGTACGCTCTGCTAGAGAGTTCCTCGGCTAAATCCGACACAGGGAGACAGATGACAACCTATAAAACACACACATCCTAGAATACAATGTCTACATAATTCCGTATAATAAAATTTCCACAACACCAGCACACATTCAAGCCAGTCAGCAAATTAATCTGTTTAACTAATCAGGTTAAAAACAGAGATTTTAATTACATACATTTGCAAATACACGTGGAATGCCCTGTCAAGGCACCTCTAAGTGCACTCCGTAACTCTACACAATCTGAGCTTCCCAACTATGGGACATCTATAGCAATGCACAAACAGAGCAGGCTCATCTGGAGGTAGCCCTTTTCTCCAAAATAAGTATAGCAACATACCAGAAGTGCAGATATGGCCTTATTTCCTGGTTAGCTTGAGTTTGTGCTGGGGAACCTTTGTATCATTCTGTATATTGATCTGCCCATGTGCACCTTTCCCTTTTTGTCAGTTTAAAAAAAAAGCTGCCAGAATAGTTTTTTGGATTTGGTGCAGGCACACACTGGAAGTCTGCAGCTGCCTTATAAAGGCAATGTCTGGTTAAACCTGTTTCACATCAGATGCATAGATTGCCCCCTTGTGCTTTGTTGTGATGAACTTGGGCTTGGTGCAAACCCAGTTCACCCGAGTTAACCCAAGCCTGCTCAAAACTGTGACCGACACACCCTGTTCCCAGCAACACTTCCGGCCCAATCAGCTGCAGCAGGCACATGTAACGCCTCACAGGTACACATCACAAAGGGGCCAGGGAATGCCCCTGCCACTACTGATTGATCCGGGAGGTGGGGTGGTGGTCGGTTTTCAGCATAGCGGCGGTGTTCACTATATGGACCACTTATGTATTTATACATGGTGAGCATATCCCATCCTAATTGGCTCTTCTCAAAGGAGAATTAATGCCATGTCATAACCGCAACCTAAATCAGACTGTAAATATGTTTTTGTTTTACTGACCTAAGTTCCACAGGATCAAAGACGGTCTTCAAGTGATTGATAATTCCTGGAAGATACTTCAAGGCTGCTGCCTATAACAGAACACACAATGTTTTACCCACTGTCTGTATTACACAACCCAGCCAAGGAAAGATGTTTGGGATATCAGTTTGTGACAATATGGCCTTTCTACTTGAAACTCACCTTAATCTTCACAGCTTCCTCCAATGGCCAGTCCATCAGCTCATTAAAGGACAGGAAGAGCTGGCGTATAGAGTCATTGAACTGGTCGTTTCCCTCGCCCTGACCATAAAATCTGTAATCATGGCAAATGATCAGTTTGGGGGTGACATCAGGACATGCGCTGAGTTTATATGATATAACAAAATGCAAAAGGAAAATGATGTGCAAAAACCCAAAACAGCCACATACCTTAGAGGTTGGGTGTCACTAAAAAAACATGGCCTCATTCCCTACGGTTTAAAGTTGAATTCAGTACAGAACTTTCATTGAAATTTACGCCTCAATTACCACAAAGGATATAAATCCACTTGGTATGCACAAATTGTCAATGCAAACACTGATATTATCGTCTTAATGCAGCAGTAGCATCATTACTGTGCTGTACCAGAAGGCCCCACCCACTACAGGCTGCCTGCAGAAAACTACAGGAGGGGGCGGAGACAAGACCAGTCACCCTGTACAAGGAGAGAGGGCAGCCATGACCGGTCTTTATTACAGGAGGGGGCGGAGACAAGACCAGTCACCCTGCACCAGGAGAGTGAGCAATATATGGTCTATATTACAGGAGGCAGCAAAGAAAAGACCAGTCACCCTGCACAAGGAGGGAGAGCAGCAGTGAGCGGTCTTTATTACAGGAGGGGGAAGAGACAAGACCAGTCACCCTGCACAAGGAGAGAGAACAGCAGTGAGCGGTCTTTATTAGCTCCACGTCTCACACTGGATTACTGCACAGATCTGGAAGAGATACACAAAGCTCACCGAGATTCAAGAAGAATACACAGGACTCTTGTATGAGGACAATATTTGCCCATCTTGGAGTTCAGCTTTAATTATATATTTTGCCCACTATTCATTTTATGTATTGTTCTGTTTATACTGTATGTCTATGTCTCATGTTTTTTATATATGGATCATTGATATACAAATGGGCTTGGGTTTCAGAGGGGTGCCCAGGCTCCCCTCAGAATACAGATGTGGCCTGCAGCTAACTTTTAGAGTAAATAAGACCTAAAGTGTTAATTCAGACACATTTACCCTTCAAACATGTTTGTTTTTACAAGAGACTCATAGGACATGATAACATGCCATCATTGACAGCCTTACCTGAGGTAGAGTTCCCTGGACTGGACTATAAATCTGAAAAGATACTTTATGGCTTTAAGAGAGGAAAAGAGCATCTCTCTGCGACACGGGTCATCCGCGCTCCTGACATACCACGTGAGAACCTTAATCAGCTTCCTGCAGATAGGAGACAAGTGCGCAGTCAACTCACAGCACAATAGCTACCAACAGGCTGCATACTGGCTCAATGCCAGAGACTCCGAAACTATTTAAGTCAAAGATTGCCAGGCAACTAGCTTTTTCAGAATGTTATGAAGCCATAATGGGTGGCCAACCGACTATTTTTATTTATTGCAGCAGAGAGCAAAAAGAAAAATACAGTAACATGAAGACTCCATGAAATGAACATTTTATAGTGATCGGAGTGCAGAATTCAATGCATAATCAGGACACTATAGGTAACGGGACTTGCTTTTTCATCTCAACTCTTTAAATTGTCCAGATAAATAAGAGGTCTGTATACAGCAGAGAGGAGATGTCACTCTCCACAGTGTTTACACCTCACTGCACTTGCATGTGACATTACAATCATTAAAGTGACGCTAAACTCAGGCTCAATGCGCCACCCACCCTGCCAAACCTCCCCCCAATGGAGAATGGCAACCAGATAGCGAGGGTGGCAGGGTTGATTTTAATTTTTTATTTCTTTTTAAAAACTTTTTTTATCACTTTTAATATTTAATTTTTTTTTTACTTTTTAAAATATTTATCTTATTATTTCTTTACTTTTTTATTTTTATAATTTTTTATCTTTTTATTTTTTACTTTATCACTTTTTTATTTTAATTACTTTTTTATTACATATTTTTTTCTATTTTTATTTTATTATTTTTTGTCAATTTTAATTTCTTTTTCATTTTAATAAAATTTTGTTGCAACTTAACTTTATTGCTATCACACAGGAGATAACAAGCCCCTGTGTGATAGCATTTGGAGATGACAGGTTCTCTTTATTGAACCTGTCACCTTCAATACACGAGTTCTAGCACAGCACTGTGCTGGCTCTCCTGTGACAGCCGAGATGGGTAGGCTGCGAGCGCAGCTCTCCCATCTCAGTGTTCACACGGAGCAGAGAACAGAAGTTCTTCACTCTGCCATCCGCTCTCCATCCTGAAGAAAGGATCTCCTTCTCTGGAGAGAAGCGGCCGGCGGGGAGAGCGGTAGCCGGCAAGGGGGACAGAATTGCAGGCTGCGCACAAGTGATCTCGGTGACATCGCTTGTTCAATGAGTGGCGGCTTCCCCGCTCTACATTTAGCTCTGTTTGCCCAAGGCAGGGCTAAATGTAGAAAACAACCACCCGCCCGGCGCCCAGAGTTGCATGTCCCAGGTGTCGGGAGATAGGAATTCCACACCCCTGCCGCTCTGAGGCCAGACCTCAGTGGCCTTGTGGGAAATCCGACCCTGATAACAATGTATCTTATTTGGGTATCACTCGGCTGTAGATCCTCCATTCATCTCTGAATTGGTGCTGCCACTGTCCTTCCTTCTGGTGGGGGGCTACTTTTGTTCCCCATGGTTCCCGTGTGTGTTGTAAAGTAGTCACCGCTCCAAGTTCGCTCTTGTGATGGACTACAATCTCAATACAAATTAGTAAACTAAACATTGTAGTCTATCCCAGGAGTGAGCTTGGAGCGGTGACTACTTTACAACACACACAGGGACCATGGGGAACAAAAGTAGCCCCCCTCCAGAGGGAAGGACAGTGTCAGCACCAATTTTGAGAGGACTTGAGGATCTACAGCCGAGTGATACACAAATAAGTTACATCTTGTTAACAGTTAAGGTATTTGAGTGCGATATAGCTGCAGGGAGGCCATTATGCTGCTTTATAAATCTGTTGCTTAAGCCGGGTGCACACATATCGAATTATGGCCGGTTCTTGATGCACCGGAGAAATTTGCTGCGTAGGTGCTGCTGTCGGCACCCTTCCACTCAGCTTCCCTCAATCAGCTGATCGAAGGAGCAGGTTGAAAAATTCTTGGCTCTGTTCTGGTATTCTGACAGCAGTTGGCACAATATAAAAGGAAAAAACGGGGGATTTGGCCATCATTCCTTGTAAATGTTGATGGAGGAATCTTTTCTAATTGTTCTCATTCAGCCCGCTGGGTTGAATGAAAAAAAAAAAAACCTAGAACTGTGTATACCCGGCTTTAGTCTCAATCGCTTATCTAATAAGGCAAAGCCAAACAATGTGATCTTTACTACCTAAAATAAGATAAAGTTGTCTCACTGCGACTTATGGCATATCACATTCCCTCCAAATTAAAAAGTAAGCCATGGCGTGCTAAGTATCACACACGCCAACTGAACAGACACATTACTCACTCGTAAGCCAGCGTCGTACTGAAGTGCTTAGAGATGTAGGTCTCTAGGACGGGATTAAAGTGCTGAAACTTAATATCTGCGATCAGAGAAATTATGAAAACCTGAAAGAGATCAGAGAATGAGAAAGAAATACATAAAGGAGAACGACATACCATCGGCGGATAGAAATGAAGAGATTGCCATTATAAGAAATGCAGCATATTCCAGACTTGCCCGGGCAGTTAGTAGCATATAAACTGTATATAACCGCTCAGATAAAATAAAACCCAGAATACTAAAGGGGTTGTATTTTTGTATCAAACAAAAGAACTATACCATAGATTTAGTTATATGCTGTATCTATCCAGACGCAACTTTATGCACTGCGTGTATTGGTTATAGGTTAAATGTTAAAGAAGAACTCAACTTAATCCTTCCTGTGGGACTACCCCCACTAGGTCTAGGGGCTGGATTAAAGAAGATGTAGTCACCTGGTCCTCGGTCCCACCCGGCTTCCAGATCGGTCCCTACAGCCTCTCCTCCCCCGGGCTCCGGAGGTCTAAGGAACCCATCACTTTTAAAGCAGGTCCATTCACCTGCATTAGAGGTGAGGATGCAGAGGAACATACCAAAGCTGGAGCTGAGTGCTGATCACTCCTGCGGTGAGTGCTGACTGCTACAGGACCAAGGATCAGGTGACCATATCTTCTGTATTCCAGACTTACAGAGAAACGCGAGCACCTAACCCTTAATTATTAATTTTGTTAATTCCTGGGGTTCCTCTTTAAATAAAAAGGAATAGTGCCTAGAAAGCATAAACACAGATATGAGCCATTTTCTTCCTATACAGCTGTCGTCCATCTCACCAGTGCATCAAACACGAGCACATCACAGCTCTCCTTGTCTGGACTCTCCATCATGATGTTGAACAGTGCATCCAATGTGTCCTGCAGAAACTGGGGGGACCAGAGAGTAAAGTCAGAGGAAGCTTGAGCACAAGACAGAGGAAAAACAGGGCAAGCACATTAAACCTAGAGGGATATCCGAGGGGCAATTTAAGTTATGCACGGGGAGCACACTATTTGGGGCTGATTTATAAAGCAATGGCCCAGTGTTTAGCTGGGCAATTGCCATTTGCAGAGCCTTACTACCACTAGAAGGAGCTGAGAAGCACAGGAATTTCATGTGCTCCTCAGCTCCAGCTAGAGGCCGTAATTTGTTAACAGAGCTCAGTAGCTGAAGCCCCAACTTATGGAGTAAGAGCTGTTGCTCCTTCTCCCTACCTCCTGCTGTGCACAGAGGGATAGATACAAACTTACCATCACAGAAAAGAAGTAACTGGCATTTGACAGACTAGTCTCATGTGCTGTGATAAAAAAGGTTTGTTAACAGAGCTCAGTCGCTTAAAAGGAGAACTATGAGGTGAGTGATCTCCACTCATCCTCATAGTTAGACCCGCCCCGTGACAAAGACACTGTCACACGTCAGCTCTATTGATCGGGAAGTGAGCAGAAACATGCAGCCGATCTGCTCCCTTCCCTATCGTCTCTCTGCAGTGAGTGGTGACTGTCAGTCACGGCTCCCTGCAGGGATTCCCCCTTCCCCTCACCGATCCTCCAGCGCTGAGTGGAGGAACGAATGGGGGAGGGGGCGGGCACAGCTGGCTCTACCTCTAGATAGGCAGAGCCAGCTGTCACTCACGCAGCTGGGTGGATCTCGACAGTATTGTCAGGATCCGTCCCGGCTGCACCGCTGTCGGTATATTGCGGGTAATAGCCCAATATATACTGAGCTTTGGGTCACGGGAGAAGGTTAGTATATGTCCTCCCGTGATCCAAAAGGGAACTATGGGGAAAAACACTTACCCCATAGTTCTCCTTTAAGCAACATCTGAATGAGCCAGAGCAGCAACTGCTTCTCCTTACCTTCTGCTGTGTACAGAGGGCTAGATATAAGGTTTCCATCGCAGAAAGGGAGTAAATGGCATTTGCCAGACTAGTCTTATGTGTTCTGATGAAAAATGTTTGTTAACAGAGCTCATTAGCTTAAGCTCCAGCTGAATGAGCCAGAGCAGTGACTCCTTCTCCTTACCCCTGCTATGTACAGAGGGCTAGATTCTAGGTTTCAATTACAAAGAGGGGGCCACAAGGCAGATAGGTTTCCTGTCTCCTTATCTGCTTTGTTCTTGTAACAAAAAAGTCTGTGTGCAGAGTTTAATAGCTCAAGCTAAAATGTATACACACAAGTGAACAATTAAGAGCAGATCCCCACCCTCCCCCCATGAAAGCTCTGTTTGAGGATTCATTTGGAGACAGAGAGCCTGAAAGAAAACAGCCTCTGTGGTGTATTCTCTTTAGAAAGTCCATAGTGCTCTGGCCATCCTGTGCCATTGTTAAATACATATTTGAAAAAAAAAAATGGTACATCCAAAGCAACATTAAGAAATTACCAGATCAGTTCAGGAGGATAACAAATCACAATTCACCAATTTACCTGAACATGTGTGCCAATTTTCCCAACCAGCAAAGTGATCACCCAAAATATAAACCTAAGCTTTGCAAACTGACATCTAGCTATTAAAGAGGAAATACAATGTACATGCAAACTAATAGATCTGCTGAAATCACGCCATGTTGATGATAAATCCCCTTATGTCTACCGAAACATTCATATTTTACATTCCACATGGGCAGATATAATCACAAAATTCATCTTTAGAATTCCAAACTCGTCACTCACCTTCATGATCTCGCCTCCATCCACGTCCATGAGTTTCCGGAGTGCTTGAGAAATAGGCCGGGGGTTTGACCGCCAATTTAACAGGCCAAGTAAATCCACTGCCGGGGGGTAGATAGAGAAGAGACAAGTTTAATTTGGGGCCTAAACTAAGAAAGTGAACGTTCTGCAGTTAAAAAAAAAAAAAATCAGACTCCATCCCCTTTGCAACAATTGGGGCCTATGTGGACAGGCTTTTGTACGTTTCAAATGGGTTTTGCATTCCCATACTTAAAAGGAGAACTATGGGGTTAGGGCTTTTCAATATAGTTCTCCTAAGGGTCACGGGAGGACATAAACTAGCGTCCTCCCGTGACACAAAGCTCAGAATACCACAAGCTACAGCTCGCGGTATTCTGAGACCGCCGCAGCCGGAACGGATCCCTACCTTACTGTCGAGATCCACCCAGCTGCGTGATTGACAGCTGGCTTCACCCCTTCCCTCATCCGTACCGCCAGTCAGCGATGGAGGATCGGAGCGGGGGGATGGAAATCCCTGCAGGGAGCCGTGAATGACAGTCACGGCTCTTTGCAGGGACAGGATCGAGAAGTGAGCGAGCGACTCTATGTGTTCGCTCACTTCCAGATCTATTGAGCCTATCTGCGAGAGTTTCATTGTCACAGGTCGGCTCGAACTATGAGGTTGAGTGAAAATCACTCATCTCATAGTTCTCCTTTAAGAAATACCTTGCAATAAAGGCTTCTTACCCTCCTGTCCACATGTGCAGCTCAGTGTACAATTTCGGTTGGGATGAATGATCTCCCGTGTATGCATGGGAGTTATGTCATCCTGACGCAGCCAAACAAGATGGCCCAAAATGCCGAAACCAAAAGAAGACCAGGTGAAGATGTTGGCACTGGCAAGTGAGCTCATGGAAGTTGCATCAGTGGAGGGAAGGCGAGGCGAGTATAGTTCTGCTTTAACTGCAGATCAGATATACCTAGCAATGAATTCTGAATGATCTCAGAGGCTTCTCAAACTGGTGCCATCAAGATAAGCAAAAAAGTCAGTCGACACTAGTCCTTAGGCACATGAGTTAGGAATGGGCATGGTCAGAGCCAGCAACTAGCAAGCTGGCTGACACTAGCACCCCAACTTTGGGGGATCAGGGATCCTATAGAAGGAACAGAAGCAGCTGCAGTTACCTGGAGTTGAATGCTATTCTAAGTGAGGATTAAACTACATTTGCTACAGGTACACTTTAAGAATTAGGTTAAATGTTAGAGTCGGGTAAAGTTTAAGAGTAAGGTGCAGGTAAGGATGGACAGATAGCGATACTAGTATTAGTATCGGTGCCAAGTATTTGGGCGAGTACTCGCACCTCGCCCAAATGCTCCGATGCCTAGCCCGATTCCGGTATCAGGAAGCCGGCCAGCGAGTCATTACACGTTGTCTGGGCTTCCTGATCAGCCGGGCAGCCGCCTCCAGGTGACATGGGAGCATGGAGCCGGTCAATCAGGAAGCTGGGTGCCGTATAATGACTCGTTGCCCGGCTTCCTGATTGACCAGCTTCAACCAATCAGGAAGCCAGGCAACAAGTCACTACACAGCGCCCAGCTTCCTGATTGGCCAGAAAGCCGGCTCCATGCTTCCTCGTCACTTGGTGACAAGGGAGCACGGAGGCGACTTCCATGCTAATTGGGAAGCTGGGTGACAAGTCTTTACACGCTGCCCGGCTTCCCGGCTGATCAGGAAGCCAGGTGGCGAGTCATTACACGCCGCATTACTTCCTTAATGGGACTTCCGGTATCGGAATTGGCGAGTACCGAAAAAAAATATCGGTACTCATACTCGATATTGAAAAACCGGTATCAGTGCATCCCTAGTTAAGGGTTTATGTTAAGTGTTCCTGTAGGGGAGAAGCTTTAATCTCAGGAGTTAAATCTTTAAAAAAAATAAGATATATTTCTGTTAACTATTAACAGAAATATATCTTATTTGTGTATCACTCGGCTGTAGATCCTCAAATCATCTCTGAATTGGTGCTGACACTGTCCTTCCTTCTGGAGGGGGGCTACTTTTGTTCCCCATGGTCCCTGTGTGTGTTGTAAAGTAGTCACCGCTCCAAGCTCGCTCACGTTATGGACTACAATCTCAATACAAATTAGTAAAGGAAACGTGAGATTGTGGTTCATCATGGGAGTTTAGTGTCACTTTAAGAGTTAGGTTAAATATTACGGTCAGGCTACGTGTCAGGTTTAAGAGACAAGTGCAGTTGAAGTTTTATGTTAGGGGCTGACTTAAAAGTTAGGTTCCTGTAGGGGAGAAGCTTAACTTTTAGGGACTGTTTATCATTCACGTTAGAAGTTAAGGACACCTTGGGGAACCATTGTATTTTTATTGCCTTCATCTAAATATTTATTTCATACAGGGTAATGCTCGGGAGTATAGGTGCCCCCAAGCCACATTGTAAGCCAAATTTGTAGGCTAGGAGGGAAAGGGTTCAGCTTTCCAACACCAACAAGTCACTGCACTCCCCAAGAAATGGACCCATGCTCTGTTATAAATCTAAAGCATTACACATCTCAATCATAAATAAGCTGCATTGCTCCAGGGTTAAAGGGACTTTGCCCTTCCAAAAAACGGCACTTTGCCCAGATATCAGTCCTTAGTTGGAAGATATCAGTCCTTAGTTCCTTAGTATTTGGAGCTTATCATATACAAGTGTCTTCCTTCCTTAGTGTTGGCATGTATCCGATGAGCTCCAACTACTCTTAGATATCACAGCAAAGCACATAGAAAAGCTTCTCCATTCAGTACAATGTGCTTTTCCTCACCAGTCTGTGTGAGCTTAGTGGAACAAATCCGCATGCTTATTTGGAAGCTATCCTTTGTGGGGGTGATGGTGGGCGCGTGTCCTCTTGGAGAACGGACTTCCTCTTCTTCCTCCTTTGTAGCAGGGAGTAACAGATAAAGCTTGGCATCGTCTAACTTCTTGCTGTCACCCTAAGGTTTAAAAACAAAGTGTCAGCACACTTCAATGACGTGGCAAAGCTATTACTTAAAGTATAACCAAACCCAAGATCAAATAATTAATATGTTGCAGTGTACTACTCCTCTGCTTGTCTTTGTCTGTGATGCCTAAATTTGATATTACCCAATAAAGTTTATTCTTTAAAGACAATCTTATCTTTCTTTTTTTTTTTGTATTACTAACTCCATCACCCTATATGTGATGGACGTTGACAAAAGGTAGACATGTTTGAAGTCCAGCCTGGCTTCCATGGCTCCTTCCATTAGATACAATGGAGGAGTGAACGTGGTCACCCAGGGACAGGAAGTGAGTAATTTAAAGAATTGTCAGGTGAAAATAAAGGGGGAAAGGCCTGAAAACGTATGTAGGCACACCATGTAAGAACTGGTAAACTGTAATATATTATGTATTTGTTTTTGGTTTTATATACACTTTAAACAATTCAAAATAGTATAAATAAACAAAGGAAGGGAAGGTCTCAAGTTAACAAACTAGATAGAAAAAAAAAATTTGACTTTTTTGTAAAAGCTGTAAAATGATTTTCTTTTTCTGTAGACTTCTGGGCTGATCGTATGAAAACATAAGAATTAGGAAAGCCGATGGGTCAGAAGCAAAACTTTCTAGGTGTCCAAACTCTTTCAGGGAGAGCATAAACCTGGCAGAAGTCTTTCATATCCCCAGTGAACATTAGGAGAGAACTATGGGGTAACCTTTTTATCCCATAGTTCTCTCTAGGGTCACGGGAGGACATATACTAACCTCCTCTCATGACCCAAAGCTCAGTATATTGCCTGCTATATATGGAGAGCGACGCAGCCGGGACAGATCCCGACAATATTGTCTAGATCAGTGGTTCTCAACCCGTGTAACCTCGGGACCCACATGTTTCCTTGGTTCAGCTGGCTCTGCCTCTAGGTAGGCAGAGCCAGCTGTCACTCACGCAGCTGGGCGGATCCCGTCATCTACGTCGGGATCCGCTCCAGGTGCGGCGTCTCAGTATACCGCGAGCTGTAGCTCGCGGTATACTGAGCTTAGGGTAACGGGAGGACACTAGTTTGTGTCCTCCCGTTACCCTAAGGAGAACTATGGGGAAAAACACTGACACCATAGTTCTCCTTTAACTATGAGGATGAGTGTAAATTGCTCTCCTCAAAGTTCTCCTTTAAGACCCCGTTCACACTTTGGCAATGTGTGAACGCGCACCAAAGCACGTGTTCATGCAACACATTAAAAACGTGCAACCTGCTTGCCACTACTTGTCAATAGCACCCCAAACGTGGCTGATAAAACAAGTTTTTCCCAACCATGGGCACATCGCAGAGTGTGAATGATGGGGCTGATTTATGAAACTTCCATGCAGCCTTATGGTCCTCGGCTCAGTCTAGTGGTGGGAATGGCATGCAAACGGAAGGTTTCTAAACATTTTTGCATTTTTTACACAAATATGTATTAAAACATGAATACAAAGGAAAAAAAGAGACATCATCTGCATATAGAGGAAAGACAGATTTTATCAACATAAGGGTGCCAAAAATATATATAAAAAACCAGCAGGTTATTGCATTTATGTATATATTAAAACAAATTATGACATGCATTTTTAAGGACAACTAGCACGAGTACCTGAATTTGTATATATTAGACTCTTGACTGACCCTTTACATCAGCACTCAGACTAGGAGAGGGAAGGGTAGCAATAGGAGCCAGTTAACAGGTCTCTACATACATGTACTGACAAGGAACATAGCAAAAAAAATGGCAAACGCACTCATCAATTCGTTACCAGCTTTACAGCAAGGTGCACACGGAAGGGCGTCAAACAGTAAAAAGTTTCCAGGCACACTCACCAGCCAGCATGCAAAAAAACCTGTCTAACCGCTAAGGTTAAAAGCAGAGGTTTAGATAGACGTCTTCTGCAGAAAATGTGAAAGCCGCACAGCCAGGTCAAGGCCCCTCCATATAGTGCTGTCCTAACTCTAAACTATGAGAGTCTCCATCTTGGAGCACATGGGGCAAAAGATTAAATTGGGTGCAGGTTTGTCAGGAGGAAGCCCAACCTCCCTTAAAAGGTACAGGTACGCACAAGGGACCCTGCACATCACAACGGCAGCTGAGACCGCCCATGTGTCACTGCACCAAATCAGTCAAGCAAAACATGTTTAGACAGGTTTTTTTGCATGCTGGCTGGTGAGTGTGCCTGAAAACTTTTTGCTGTTTTACCGTTTGAAGCCCTTCCGTGTGCACCTTGCTGTAAAGCTGGTAACGAATTGATGAGTGCGTTTACCATTTGCTTTGCTTGACTGATTTGGTGCAGTGCTCCTTTTTTGATCCTAGGAAAAAAGGAGCACTTAAATCTTGCACTACAGGGGGTAAATAACATTTCTTCTTTAAAGTTAGAGTGGCTAAGCTGTGGAATGCCCCACTGTGTGAGGTAGTAATGGCAAAATCAATAGTCTGCATGCATTCCTTACAGCTAATAGTACCATATAATTACTAAAGGATAATACAGGAATAGTTTCATTCCAGGAATTTAATCGCTGCCATTTGCTGGGTCAGGGAGTCTTTTTCCTGTTGGTCAACAGACAGGCACTCTTGTGTACAGTTTGTCTTGCGTTGGAAAATTTAGAACAACCAAGGCTTGTGGGACTTTACATTTGATAGATGTGAGTGTTCGTTCAACCCAGATAATTGGGCACATTTATAAATTGTCTCTAACAGCTCTATTATTCTAAATGTTTCCCCAACCAGCTTCAACACAATTATAAGTCTCCAAGTCCATGCCGTCAAAATCAACTGATTACATACCAGTTGTCATTTTTCTACAGAGTACATCATCAAATTAATAGCCTGAAAGGTTGCTTCGGGCCACATTTATGTGTGTTGTCTTGCCTGACGCATCCTGTCCATACATTTAGGACTGTTACCTTATAAATGATGAGGTCATGAATGCCGTCCCTCAACGTTGTACCATCCTGGTTCATCAGCCTGACAAAAGCAGCTCCAAACACCTTCTCTGATTTGTCACGAGCTGCAGTAAAAGGACACACAAGGTTTGAGGTGGATCATTTCTATCTGCCTGTTATTATTCTGCATTGTGTGATACTAATGAAAGGATTAAGTAAAGAAAACAGGAGGAGGATGAAGAACAACTGACAGAGGTTCAGGGCCATGATGGTAAGACATCTTCTGTGCACCCTCGCAGTTTGTCCTGGTGACCATTGTCATTGGGATAGAAAGTGATGGGAAGGTATGTACCGATGCATAGACAGAATATGCAATAGAAGAGAAAAACTATATAGTATCTTCAACAACTTATTTATAATTGGCATTTAGTAGGGATGCAGCAATACTGTCTTTTTGGTATCGAGTACCGATATTTCTTTTCCAGTACTCGCTGATACCGAAAGTCCCATTAAGGATGCCGAGCGGTGTGTAATGACTCGCCGCCTGGCTTCCTCATTAGCCCGGAAGCCGCCTCCATGCTCCCTTGTCACCGGGTGACTAGGAAGCATGGAGGCGGCTTTCTGGCCAATCAAGAAGCCGGGAGCGGGTAATGACTCGCCAGCTTCTCGACCAATCAGGAAGCCGGGTGGCGAGTAATTCCCAAGGAGCATGGAGCCAGCTTCCTGGCCAATTGGCCAGGAAGCTGGAAGCTGGGGGTGGGGGTGATTCAGCTTCCTGTTTGGCCGGGAAGCTTGCTCCATGCTACCTGGTGACAAGGGAGCAGGGAGCCGGCTTCCTGGCCAATCAGGAAGTTGGGCGGCGTGTAATGACTCGTTACCCGGCTTCCTGATATCGGAAGTTCCGTATCGGGATAAGCATTGAGAGCATTTGGGCGAGATACTCGGTATCGGCACAGATAACAATACTAGTATCGGTGCATCCCTAGTAATTATATACGCAGTGCTTCACATAGTGCACATTCACATCAGTCCCTGCCCTCAAGAAGCTTACAGTCTAAGGTCCCCATCTGACATACATAGAAGGCCAATTTAAATAGGAGCCAATTAACCTTCCAACATGTCTTTGGAGTGTGGGAGGAAACCGGAGTACCTGCAGGAAACGCAAGCACAGGGGGAACATGCAAACTCCTTGCAGATGGGGACCCCCGGTGCTGCAAGTCAGAAGTGCTAACCACTCCGCCACTGTCCTGCCCAACAACTTTTTAGAAGCACAACTACTTGTTGAGAAGATAACTAATCTGGCAATCCTGGACATTTTTGCTGTTCCAACATTACCCTTATTGTGGTTATTCCTAAATGAGAAACATACTTTATGTTGGGGTGTTTTGGAAATCCATTAAATCTTTTCACAGCCCACATGTTACCAACAGTCCAAATACCATATTGTCTCTATGGATTCCTTTTAGTACATGTTAGTAGAAATGACATGCTTACATTCCTGAGATGAGCGGTGCCGGAATGAGAAGCGAAGGTGACAGCGGCTGACATCCTCTATTGGTATGGTGACCTGTGGGCACAAGAGGAAAATGGCAAACAATGGGATGGAGAAGGTACGTACAGCCTGCTTATCATTCCTCCTGTAAAGTGAACTTGTTGCATAGCCTACTGAGGGAGCAGTTCAATTGCTCTTTAAGTACTACTAATGGCAAATGGCATAGTGTATATAGAGTACATGCCACAACTCCAATACAGCATCTGTTGAAGAGGTTTTTCAGAATTTGGGTTTCCTTAGAAGGAAAGCGGAACAATGCATTGTATTATGTATGTAAACAGGTAAAGTTTTAACAAGTCTGAAGTAATGGTTACAATCAGGACCAGCAACTCAATGTTCACTTCCAGAATGGGCAAATGTCATGCACATCCATCAGATCTACCACTAAACATCATTGCTCCTTATATTACATTATTAAAGGGAAGCTCCAGCTTCATTGCAGACAGGACAAAAATTCCAGAATTACCATTTGGTGAAGTATGAAAAGACGTATGGCAATACCAGATAAATGACACATCTACATAGTTGTTATCATCAACTCTGCCAAAGCATAATCTGCTCTAAGCTATAGAAGTGATATGGAACAACATATGCATTAACTTCTAGGGAGGAGACTTGTTATCAGCGAACCATTTCTGCTGCCAAATCCTCAGGAATAAAGGCAGAAGACACACTGGGATGCCTGAACTGTCCCACCTGACCCTCTGCAGGGAATATATAAACAGTGGAATGGGTCTCAGTTACAGAAAGTGAAATCCATACACTGCACAAATAGAACAGTGTATAGCTCAAGATTCAATAAAAGTCAAAGTAGAAAGACAAGAAGAAAAAGAAAAATGCAAAAATGATAGAAAGACTTACCTTGATTGTTTCATACCAACATGGCTGCTTGACCTGGTAATACACAACAGATTTGTATTCTGGCAGCCCCTCCTGCCCAGCTCCAAGAGCGATTGCTTTCTGGAATCAATAAACAAGAACAGTGATAAGTAACAGTGATTCCTGCCCAGAACGGAAATAGAAGATCACAATATGGCTTTATAGGATGTGACCAGTGACCATCCAAAGATAGCTCGGATTTACCTCTAACACTGAACCATCCTGGTCATGCACAGACATTGTGACTTCCACATTCTTGGGGGTTTTCTTCTTGCCTTTGTCAAACTCGCCCTGGATCAGAGTAATGTAGATGTCATTACGAACATCTCCTGTAAACATGGGAGAGAAAACATAATTCAACCACCCATGAGGTAAAATACTAAAATATGGGACCACATTTTTAACCCAGTATGTTAAGATACACATACCAGGCAGGATAATCTCTGGAAATCCCATTTTCCGGGCCACAGCAGTAGATCGATCCACTAGGTGAGAATATTCCTTCTGTACCTGATTGATATCTCCTGGTAGAAGCTTAAGAGAAACCCAAAGCCCTGAGAGGGTAGTAAAAAAAGGGAAAAAAATCAATAGGTAATCTTTACGTGAAGAGATAAATAAAACATAAAAAAAGTGGCCAATAGGACGTTTCTAATTTGTACAAGAAAAATGACAACAGGTTGTTCTAGGCAAAGTATGAATTAAATGTTCTGTGCTTAGTACAGATGGACTAATGTCTTTATTCAACCTCAAATACTATGTAACTATGTAACTATGTACCTAAAATGTCTATATTTAGAAAAAATGTTGGGGTGTGAAACGACCCTTAGACCCTCATGACAGGTGGAAGGGGTGCTCTCCAAACCTCCCTACATCTCATTCTAATAAAGCAGAAGAGTTATATCAAGCTAAATGTTCCATAAATCTCCTATAAACCCTGTGTGTAAGCAGCTATAAAATGGGAAGATTTGATAGTGTATAGGGACAGAGACATGGGGAGTTCTCTTGGAGATGTCTGTCAAGTGGTGCATGCCATGGTCAAGCACTTAGTGATGGATTTCCTTGAGGTCCCTGGTGAAATATACAAAGATCACCATCATGTCAGGGAATACCCAATGTAGGCAATGCTAATGCAATGATGCCATTTGTATGCCCAGATTTCATCATGTCTAATAAATCCCATAGAACTATGCCCACTGATCCAGTGCTAATGGTGTTGTGAGTTATCAAAAATCTGTAACATTTTTCTTTGGTTTGCATCTCCTGAACCTGGATCTGATGCTTTTTTATGCCATCCTTTTGCTACAGCAACCAAATTCCACTGCAAGGTCTTCACCTTAAAAACAGACGCATACCTTGAGGCCTCAGTTTATAAAGGTGAAACACTACGTCTTATTCAAGAGAAGGTATGAGATAATAGTAAATGTTGGAAAATCCCCCTCTTATCTATGCTATTCTGGAACAGCTAGTATAATTATTCTGCTTAGATGAGCACATATACAGAGGACTTTTCAGGCAGTTCCCAAGCGCCCCACAGATGTCACCAGGAGAATGTCCTAAATGCATGCCGATTGTTGCATGCAACACTGGTCTGCTCTAGATTTAGTCTTAAAGAGACCCTGTCACATAAGAATACTAAATTCGCACCTGCATACACTTGTAGAAGCCTTCCGTATCTTCTGGTTCACCTGAATGCTGGGTTGTCCTGATAAGACAACACGCCAACATTTTTGAGTAGTGTCAGTGCTTGCCACTAAGCCTCACCCCTACACATTCTTACTGGTCCATCACTATGATGGGCTGATTCACTGGCCAATAATAATGTGTGGAAGGAGAGACAGAAGATCAAGTTTCAGTACTATAGTGAAGTTCTCTAAGCTTGATCCTGTCAGAACACTATGACATTTGAGTGAAGCAAGTCATTCTGAGAACTGCTATAGATATATGAAGGCACCTCCATGTGCCAGCCCTTCATAACTATCAGCAGCTGTCAGTATTCTTAAAATTTGTATTAGTATCCTCCATGAAATGATGCCATACCTTGTCCCTTGTGGTTGACCTCTTTGGCTGCAACCACCTTGTTGTAGATGGTGGGGAGAGGCTCATTCTCAGCCAATACACGTGACGAGCTCAGAGGAGACATGATGAGCTGCCGTTGACTGATGTAGGTTTCTTTGGCCACCCTGAGAAGGTAATAATATTCAGAGATCAGCGTCCTTATAAATTAACCCAGAAAGGTTTTCTGCTATGGCACAAAATGGCAGCTTACGGATGAAATGGTATAAAATGTTGTTTTTCCTCATCATCCACCTTCCCATGTATAACATCGGATATATCCATCACTGCAACAGATACAAAAAACGGATTCAATCCTATAATAGGTACCTCTACTTTCATGACCAACAGATAATCATTACCCATCTCTTCATCCTGTACTTAGCGATATGTTATACAGTACATCACCCATCTCTCCCCACCATGGTTAGAGATTTCCTACATGGTATAACACCCATCCTCCTCCCCATGGAGATATATTACATGGTATACCACCCATTCCTCTTCCCCATGGATAGAGATATATTACATGGTATACCGCCCATTTCTCCTCCCCATGGATAGAGATACATTACATGGTATACTACCCATCTCTCCTCAATATGAATATAGATATATTACATGGCATATCACCCATCTCTCCTCCCTATGGATATAGATATATTACATGGTATATCACCCATCTCTCCTCCCTATGAATATAGATATATTACATGGTATATCACCCATCTCTCCTCCCTATGAATATTATTATTATTATACAGGATTTATATAGTGCCAACAGTTTGCGCAGCGCTTTACAATATAATGAAGACATTACAATCACAATACAATTCAAGACAAGATGGTAAGGAGGGCCCTGAATATAGATATATTACATGGTATACTACATATATCTGCTCCCCATATTTAGATATATATTATACAGTATAAAAAGAAGAATCACCAGCACTTCAATGGTGAAGAAGTCAGGGCCGCATGGGGTCCCTTCATCAGGGGAACAGTGTAATGCTCGTTTGCCTCATGAAGGGACCTCATGCGGGCCTGAAATTTTGTTTGCTTTGTGATAATGTGAAAATGCGTCCATAAATGTTGGCTATGTATTTAGATGAAGCACTAAAAACTTGAGGAATGCTTAATTAAGTTTAACTTGCTTAGCAGGACATAACATGTATGTATACAGGAATACAGCATAGTAGAAAGGAAAACATATATACAGATAGAACTTCCTATGTGTCACAGACACGCATACATAAGCATAGAGACCAACACTGCACCGCAGCACCATCTAGTGCCCAAAAGACATAACAGTAGATTAGCATAAGCTGTTGTATTTCCAACACCCCTTCTCAACAGTATATGCGTTGCTATATGACATTTAGCTTCTCTCGAAGGAAACTGTGATGATCCTTTGGCAATGGCTTGGTGAGTGCATCCACGGTCATCTCTTCTTTTGCTGCCTTTGTCCATTTATTAGCTTCGCATTTTGGTAATTTTTCAGTTTTCCCATGAAGTTGGTTCGAGTATGCCATTTGTCTTAGCAGTATTATGACAACTTGCGGGGTGGTATTCCATTTGTTGTTTGAGTGGATCTTCTCATTTCAGGTTGTTCAGCAGAATTTAACATGGAATTTGAATTATCCATTGTGAGTTCCATCTCTTGTTCTGACTCCTGTGCAAGCTTCACTATGCTCAGCCTCCTTTGCTGGTTCACTGGGTGAATTCACTTCACAACTTGCCAGGATCATTGTTTCTGGTGATGGGTTTTCATCTAAATAAATGCTGTGACTTACTGTCACTTTGTCAGTCTTTGGGTGGATGATTCTATATCCCTTACTATGTTCACAATGGCCCACCAGAATACCTTTAATGGCTGTGTTCTCCAACTTGGATCACTTCTCCTTTGGAATATAGGTGTAAGCTTTACATCCAAACACTCTGATGTGCCCTAGGCTAGTCTTCGATCCATGCCACATTTCAAATGGGTGCTTTCAACAGCTTTTGATGGTAGTCTTTTCTGTAGGTATGTTTCAGTCATGACTGCTTCTCCCCAGTATTTCTTAAGTAGGTTGGCATCAGACAGCATTCTTCGTGCTCTCATGCACCTTTTGGGTTTCTCATTTTCTTCATTGTGCATATTTTCTTTCCTTCTGCCATATTCATTGATTAATTTTCCTTTGGTGTATTCAAGTTTTAGTTCCTGCTAAGGTCTGGTTTATAGAGCGTTAATAAGAGCACTGTATGAGTCTGGAAGACTGCATAGCAGTAATGCCACCATGTGGATATCTTTAGTTTCCTCTTCAATTGCACATAGCTGTTCTATGATTTAATGCTCCGCCATCTGCTCATCACTGCAGCACCCACCGTCGTTCCATTTGGGATCCTACGGTCAGGAGTGCGATGGGATATACATAGCATATTACCCAGTATATCACCCATCTCTCCTCCCCATACCTAGAGATATATTACACGGTGTATCACCCATCTCTCCTCCCCATACCTAGAGATATATTACACGGTGTATCACCCATTTCTTCTCCCCATGGTTAGAGATATAATGCATGATATACCCCAATTCTCCTGTCCATGGTTAGAGATATTTTACACAATTTAGCATTCATCTTTCCTTCTAATCACTCCTCCCCATGGTAAACTCAACTCCTTTGCTTATTCTAAGCAGATCAGCCACCACTGAGCGAAGCAGACTTGTGGCACTGAGCAGCAAAGTTTATACTGATCACACCCTCCTCGGAGAGAAATGTTACTGGCCCATAAGAGAAAAGTGTGTTGGTGATATCCACAGAAATCAAGTAGGTGGAAATCTGAAAAAGTTTGCTAAATTCCTTGCAATATTCTTCATAGTAGACCTCGGCAGGAGGAAGTTGGAGTTCTAATTTAAAATTGATGCAAAAAGGTCATATATGTACAAAAAAGTGCTCTGGCGCCGACAGTGACTTCTCCCTCCTAAAACAGGTTAGCTCCCCCCACGGATCGGACAGCTCTCAATCATGCAAAAAAACACAAACAGAAGAGCGCCCAAACCCTGTGCGATATCAGTTGGTTTATTTGAAAAGAAACTAAACACAATGTCAGGCTACTCAAAAATGTGGGAGTACACAAAGCTTTGCACAGCCTCCAGAACTGATATTAATGCCTAAAAACATCCCAGGCTTACAAACAAAAGCCCCAATCGCCAGCGGGGCTGTAGCGGTTGATACGTTTTTGGGGCACGCTCCCTTCATCAGAATCCTGGAAACGCATCAACCACTTCAGCCCCGCCGGCATCTGTGTCATACCGAGTGGGGTTTGTGTCTTTGAGCCTGGACTGTTTTGATGCATTAATATCGGTTCTGGAGGCTATACAAAGCTTTGTGTACTACCACAATTGTGAGAAGCCCAACATTGTTTTTAGTTTCTTTTCAAATAAACCAACTGATATCGCACAGGGTTTGGGCGCTCTTCTCTTTGAAGTTTTTTTTTTATACAAAAAGGTGTTAATGCTGTTACCTGCAACCCCAAAAGGCCTCCGAAGGCCAAACGTATGTTTTTTGCCATCCTTGAGCTCCATGTGTCCCACGCGCACTATCTGGCACACCAGGCTGAACCGGGGACGAATCAAATCCAAGCTACTGAGGTCCTGAAGAGGAGAGAGGTCAAAACTAGAATGAAAAAACAAAAAATAGAGGTGGTTCAAGATCAGCAAGGAGAGTGGCAGAAAAGTAAAGAATGAAAAGACAGAAAATAAAACGATCCATAAAGTTAAAGGAGAACACTATGGGAATGCAGGATCCCAAGGATCATGAAAGACACAATAAAACGAGTCGATAGAAATCAGATCTTGAAGACAATCATAGTATGGTGAAGGAACATAGGACAGCAACAGGAGTGAGACCGATGGATGAGAAGACTACAGAAAAAAAGAATCAAATAATGGAAGGCACAGAGAACAACACCCAGGGAAAGATGGGGAGGGGGAAGAGCAGAATAACGTAATGAAAAAAAAAACGATGGAAAAAAGAATGGAAAATACGGGCGATACCACCACTGCTGGAGCAGAGAAGAGAGAAAAGAAGTGGTAGAAGAATAAAAGCAGAACTAAAAACAGAAGTTGAAGGACTTTAAAGTAGATGTAAACCTAACCACTGAAAATCCCATATGAGCTTTACCATGTTCCTGTCAATTCAAATGGATATTATGAAAGACCCAGTACAGGTACTTCCTGTTAAATGATGATAACTAGGGATGAGCTCAAGTTCAGTTCGAACCTGAGCTCCTCCAAACCTGGAAGAAGGCCCGTCCCGCAGCTGATTGTGAGGAGGTGCTCGTGTCTCTTCCTTGTTAGGTGAAGCTTAGGTTTCGACTGGGTTATTTCCACACCTGAGCTCATCCCTAGTGACAACTGGCTACCAATTTTGCTCCTGTGTTGTCTCATTATCAGATTGAGTTTCATTGGAGTGAAGGAATGACCTTTGCATAATGCTTTACGTAGGCATGATCCCTTGTTTTCACCGTCAGGAACCCTGTCCTGAGAAATACCCTGCAGCCATCAATGGGGTGCATGTAGGCAAAGTGGCTGCAAAGAGGTTGCAAAGAGGTTCAAAAAGTTGGAAAAAAAAAAAAAGGTTTACACACATATTATTTAAACAAATTATATTTGTTTATGCTACACTGTGCTTTCGAAAGCTAAATGTAATTCGGTTAGGGTTTATATCTACTTTAAACAAGTGGAGGATAGCAGGAGTGCCGAGTGAGAGTAGGAATAAACAACGGGGGCTCGGAAAGAGTAGGAAAGAAACAACCAGGAGCAAGTAAACGTGATCCAATGGAACAACACCAAGGTGGAGGTTTCTCAAAATAGCACATCATGATGACCACACATGGGCAGGTTGTCTGTAAGTTCAGCTGGCAGCTTCCCAAAATGATTAGGAAGCAGTGGCCACAATGTTTTGTTTAAAAAGGTTATTACACTCAATATTAAGACTTGTAATGTTACATCCAGACCACCATTGGACATCATCTCATTTTATGAAATTTCCAAAGCACACTTTATGTTTGCGCAGTCTATATCTACAAGACAGGAGAGCTCCCTGACTTGAGGTGGCCCATAGTAATGTTTCAAAAATTGTTCTTCACTAGTCAGCTAATTCCTGATTGCATTACATTGTTGCATTAGCCATGAGATTAATGATCCCTCAAAAGAGATTCATATGCTTCCTGGAATATTGGACACCATGGGACTAGATTTATAGGACATGACTGGGACTTTAGGCAAGGAACACAATGACACCCAGGAAGAGCATTCAGTGCAGGTGGACATTAGTGGCACCTCAAAAAGAAGCTTGGATGAATTGCAAGAACATGCAGGGAAAAGATAAAGGGAGATGGTGCCCTGTGCAGTTTATGTTAACCACTCTGTGTACAACTCAAGCCATGTGTGACCAGCATAAGATTGGAATAGGAACAAGAACTAGGGATAATAGAAGTCAGATGATACAAAGAATGAGATCAAAGCTGGTGGGTTACAACAGCATTAGAGGATCAAGTCCGCTAAGCAGAACGCCACTCACTGTGAACACTGCCTGCAGGTTGTTTAACTTCTCTATTTCTTTGGGCATACCAGAACTACTCCAGCGGACAAAGTAATTTTCACTGCAGATACATAAATTATACAGAGTTCTTTCAGAAATTGCTACTGCATATGAACACAAAGCTAGAAATAGCAATCCTTTAGAAACACTCCTCACTAGAGATTAGGACAAAGTAATATATCAAACAAAGAGATACCTGTACATACAGTATGTTTGTGTAAGCTTGTCTACTTCAGGCTCTGAACTCCTAAGTCATGTGCTTGCCATATGCAAGTATACACTGCAGCTTAGGACTCACATCTGCATCCCACAATGCAATGTGGGCACTTTTCCAGGTGATATGGTAACTGCATTCTAGGCTGCAGCTTCAGATGGCCCGAGCACTAAAGCCAGGTATACACATTCAGGGGTGTCCCGAGGCTGGGTGTCATCC